TATTCAACCTGTGAGCCCGCGATCAACATTACCTGTCCAAATTATCAAAACAGTCCCACCGTCATGGAAGTACGGTCAGTATATTACGGCCGAGAGAGGTCCAACCAATGTTCACTTTCGGGCGAGATTCTCTACCCGAACTGTACGTCACTAGCGACAACTAAGAAGAACATCATGAAGAAATGTCAAGGAAGGAACCAGTGTATCATCGAAGATCTCACTAAATATCTTGAAGATCCCTGTATTGGTTACAGCAAGAACTTTAATATGACATACAGATGTCAACCTGGTACGTAAACCATTGTACTATTTGTGTATACATATTAAGAGGACATTTTTTTCAATGATGAACAATAATGGCAAAAAGCGCCAAAAACTAGACTTTCGTATGAGCTTTGATCCCAATTTTCGTTTTGGGTTAGCACTCAAAACCTTTCTTAAACAATTAGAAACTGATGTACTACATGTATGATAAAATGCATTTGTGTTAGAATGTTGCTTTGTCAGGGTTTTTTTTATAGAAAATATATGTGAAACAAACAAATGAAGGCCTAAACCTCATTTCCGAATAAACTTTTTGTTTTGGGTTAACACTTTGATTCCACTTTCATCGGTCATCTTCACTTCCAAATAAATTAAACCTTCTGAATAACAAAATTTTAGCCTTGTACAACAGCCTTTCCTCGAAAAAAAGGTTTTGGCACTCATTGCTTGAATACGAAAAGAATTGTCTTAATATACAATTATTGAATRATTCGGCTTTCGCATGATATCTTACATTAATAGTAGGAATTTACGCAACCCCCATTAATTATCTAATGGTCTGTCCTCAAGGCGTTCAATAGTTCTCTTTTTCTACCAGTTTACGAATTTGGAAGAAGTCAGTCGTACAAATTGGTGCCGAATAACTTGACGTGCTACGATAACATGGTTATAGTTCCACATGACGCAGAATGGAAGTCTTCTTCTTGCCCGGCTGGGCAGCCGGACACGTTTGACAAGGTGAAAGGATGGTGCGATGGAAAAACATACTGTCAAGTCTATAATAATCATGTTTGGTTAGGCGATCCCTGCCCTCATAAAACCAAAGCCTTTAAAATGTGGTACAGCTGTCAAACGGGTAAGTGTTCATGCGACATAGTAACCGGCATATTTAATTTGTCGTACTGATAAAGAAATAATTAACGTCATGGTCCCCATGTTGTATTTGTTGCATTTCCAAGTATATGCATGACGTCATGGCCCCCATGTTGTATTTGTTGCATTTCCAAGTATACGCCTGACGTCATTGCCGTCATGTTCGATTTGTCGCATTTCCAAGTATACGCATGACGTCATGGCCCCATGCTTCATTTGTCGCATTTCCAAGTCTATTGCCTCCATGTTATGCCATGTTGTACTTGTATCATTCCTAAGTTCATAACTAACGTCATGGCCCTCATGTTGTACTTGTTGCGTTCATAAGTATACTTTACTTTTAAAGGCGGATAGAAACCTAGGAGGGACGAAAGAAGGCGCCGATTTAGGTTGTGGGTCATTTTGCATGTACCATAACCCTTTTGTATAGTTTGTTAGCTTCGTTCTATCGTATAAATTTGAAGTCTTTTGTCGTTTTTATTTAATTACGTAAGCTGTGACCGATACCTGTAAAAAGAACCTAGGTTTGTGCTAAGCCAATTTAGTGGGAGCCAAACTCACGTGCGCATGCGATGAAGAACGTTCACTGATACGTTAATAACTATATTATCTTATTAGCCAAGGGAGGACTTGACAGTGAATGGGGCTCCTGGACTAACTGTACAGAATGCGGGCTGTATGCCATGAAAAGTAGAAGAAAGCGCTGCTTGAGCCCCGTCAGTCACACCAGTGGAGGTCACTGCCCTTTGGTGCAAGAGGTGGCCAACTGCAACAAACCGTGCCCAGGTAGTAATAAATCGATAACTTCAAAAGAGTTTCAATTCCATATAGTTCTGACCACTCTTAAGGTGGACGGATGTCCTAACAGCTTTTTCAATCAATTGAAACGCTCCGAAAAATTGCATTGGTATTTAGAGGAATTTAGAAGTTCATTTTTGGAGGGAGAAAAACAGGAGTGTCAGCCAGAGAAACAACCCCCTTGAAGGATAGAACCAACAAACAACTCTATCCAACTATGATGACGGGGGGGGAGGGGGGTGGATGGCTCGAGAGACGGCACATGAGGAGCACATGCCAACGGTACACGCAAATGTAATAAATATTAATCCTCTAACCTAGGTTCACTTGAGTAACATACTATAGTCACTGACCGTACGAATGGTTCAATTCACCTTTTCGGTGATAGCCGTCGTAAACACTTTGTTGGATTGTGTTACGGTCACCAAAAACATCGGACGTCGTTCTCGGATTCGCATACGAATTCACTGAGTTAAAAGAGAAAATTTAGATAAATTTCTTTAGTTAGCTCTCTTAACAGCAATAAGAAAAGCTCTAATCAAGTTAGAAAAATGATATTTTACTTGYATTTAGAGAACTAACTATACGAACCAAGTACATTTGAACGGAAATCCGAGAACAATATCCGAACTTCTTGGTGACCGTAACACRATCCAACACAATTTATACCACGTGACGGCTAGCTCCGAAAAGGTGAATTGAGTGTTTGTATTCTCATTTTTAGTAAAAGACCTTGTCATTCGAATGAAGAAAGAATTCAACGTCATCCTGGGAAATATAATGAACATCCGCTTGACCATGGAACTGGGTACTAACGTGTCAGCGGTATTCGACTGGGGCGACGGTTCAAACAGCACATTTCTAGACGGGCTACAAGCAAATGCAACAAGTCATTTAGATATGGAAGTGTCGCATAACTACACGAAAGAAGGAGAATTCGAAATCAAGTTGCTCGCGTACAACGTCCTAAACAACCAAACTGATGGTAAACTCATACACGTTCAGGTTCGTCTAGAAGGAATGAATGTGTCCGCACCGGGATTCTTGGAGGTCAATGAATGGGGACATTTCAGATTTACCTTAGTGGTTGTCTCCCTCGCCCTGCCTAATGTAAGCTGGAAGTTTGGTGATGACACGCCAACGATCGAAAACAAGAATTTCAGCTTGAACCATTYGTACCAGCGACCAGGGAATTATTCGTTTCAAGTTATCGCCAAAAATCGTGTCAGCCAGTTAACTCATTCTTCTGTTGTCGTCGTTCAAGAGAGAATAACACAGCTTCGTTTCAGCACAGACACATACAAGTTCCCCCTCAACGTTGCTTCGAAGATAAATGTTCTATGGTCAAATGGAAGTCACATGTTATTTTTCTTCAATTTTAGTAAGGGCGAATCATTGTGGAAATATGTGACGCTTAGAGATAAAAAGGTTGGAGGGTTGGTTTTAAATCATAAGTTCAATTACGTCGGAGTGTTCGACGTTCGTGTTAGTGCGTCTAATAGACTCAACAACGCCACAGCTTGCGCTAGTGCCATCGTTGAAATCCCCGTCTCTGGATTTAATTCGTCAGTTGTTTGCAAGCGAAGATTTAAAGATTGCTTTCAAGATGATAGTATTTCGTTGAATGCAGCAGTAACAAATGGGTCAAGTCCACAATTCAAGGCTGTGATGGGTGACGGAACGTCCTATACAATGACAGAAGTTTTATCAGTATCACACAGATATAACACACATGGAAAGTTTGATGTTTATGTATCAGTGTATAACAACGTCAGCCTGGAAAATGTCACGCATTCATTGACAATACTCGAGGTACAACAGATACAGGGATTAAGGGTTGAATGTAACAGGTCAGTAGTGCTCGGTAACGTGACATTCTGTAATATTGCTTTAGTTCGAGGGAATGCATTCGAATGCGTGCTTTACTTCGGTGATTCAAATGAAATGCATAACTACACCCATGAAACATTGGCAAGGAACGTCTCGCATAGATATTCCAGTTACGGGACCTATTACGTAAAACTAACGTGCAACAACACCCTAGGGACATCAGTTGCAACGTACAAAACTATAGTAACAGGACCTGAACTTGGTTTGTCCCTGTCGAATAATGGACCTTTGATGACCAATGATATAGCAGTGATTACCATGCAAGTCAAAAACCCAGCTCCTAAGTCTTGTTTTTTATTGGACCTTGGAGATGGTAACAGAGCAGCTTACGGTGATATGAATTGCAGTAACAGGTATTATGGTATTGAAAAGACGCTACCACTGCAGAAACGAATGCTCTACAACAACACGTATAAAACTGTGGGAGTCTTTAATATTCGTTTTGAAGGAACGGACAGCCTGTTGAACGAGTCAGTCACCAGTTCAATAGCAATCACRGAAAAACCCTGTCGAATCCTTAGTGTTATATTAGAAAACATTGCACCTTCGTCTGAATCTGCTACGAGGATTCTGAAATCACGACAATTCGTTGTAATGTCAAAATATGAAATCAAATGTTCTAGTGCAGTCGGTGCGATACTGAAGTGGAACATCTATAAGAATGAATCTGGTAGCTTTGTAAGCTATACTGACGTAACCACGACAACGTCAAGTCTAGTTATAGGACCTCGATTTATTGATTACGGCATGTACAAGATAGTTCTTACTTTGACTTTAAATGGTGTCGAAGGTATCTTAGAATCGACTGAGGGGTTCATTGAAGTGACCAAGACGCCATTATCAGCCATGATTGTCCAAGGGTCTGCAATAAGAAGAGGCTGGAATGAAGCAATTCAGCTTGATGGTTCGGAGTCGTATGACCCAGACGAAGGAAGAAAGAGTAACAGTAGGTTGATTTTTAAATGGTTTTGCATCGATATTAACGAGACCATAGACGATATAGATCAAACTCCATTAGTTTCTCTCATAAAAAAGGTGAAATATCAAAATATCTCCAAGGTTTCCTGTGGCAGATACAGACATCTTTTCCCCGGGAATGTGGATAAGTCTATCGTGTTGCATCCGGAGTTGCTTTCAGATCAAAAAACTGTTTTAGYTGAGTTGGAAATCGAAGAAGGAAACAGAAATGTCAGTGTGTTTACGTTGATTCAACGTGTAAAATCCACAGTTCCGTCCCTGAACGTAAGGTAAGTGCTTTCTTTTTGCAATCCTTTTTCCCCTATTAAGACAACGTGTCATTATCTAGAGTATCATTTCTTTGTTGAACGGTTGCGAATGAGAAAAGACACATGAATATGGATACAACTCAAACAAAGAATCTCATATTCAAGAGATTGGCACATGGTCTCAAGATGGATTGCAGCACAACGAATAAGGGTTATTGACCAATTACCTTATCTTAACCAGCTCTCTAATACATAACACCATCTTTGATGCGGGTCCCCTGAACAATGACGTCATCCTTAAAGGTTTTTTATTAGTGACGTCATCTCTCACTGCCGTTTCTTTGAAAAAAGACGTAATATATATCGATTTTCTTATGGATTGTATCATCTTTATCATTCAGTGACGACATTCATAAAAAATTATTCGACCACTGCCGTCATGTTTAATGTCAGTTCTAAGGCTAATAAAGTGATTTTAAATACATCAATACAGTGTAGCTATACCAGTTATTCTTGCGATACGTTGCTTCATGAAGTTTTTCCACCTCATGGGTTGCCTACGCCCAGTTGCCCGATGACTCAGATCGCCGACTTCTGCGATAACGCCATGATAGAGGGCTACCTTGTAGCTCTTACTTGAACCCAACGTTAAAATATATAATGATATCTCCTTATCGCAAATCTTTTTTCTTCCAGATGCAAGGAAAACTGCAAAGAGAAGTCGAATTTAGAGGAAGTGAAGTCATACTTAGGCGAATGCACCAATCACTGCTCTTCTAATATGACAAAAAGTTGGAGTCTTTTCGAGCAGGATAAGGACAACCATAACTGGAAACTGGTGGAGAATCTAGATTCAAAGGTCCTCTCAAATATAGGCACCTTTAGTTTGGTGCTCAAAAGTAAAGTGCTCAAAGGAGGAAGACGTTATGTTGTAAGGCTGTCAGCATGGTACGCAGGAGAACAAAAGGGAATGACAGAGCACGAGTTCCTAACCAGCACGCCGCCGTATGGCGGGTATTGTACCGTTACTCCTACACAAGGAATAGCTCTTGAAACTCCTTTTTTTATTCATTGTCACAACTGGACGCTGGAGAGAGAACCAGGGATCTACAAGTTTGCCTACCATGATGTTTATACAGACTTGTGGAACATACTTTACATATCGACCAAGGGTAATGTTACCCTTACTTTACCCGTGGGACATCCCTTGAACAACTCGACTCTCAAACTAGTCGTGGAGATTTCGGATGACGATGGACTTTATACAGTAGTGTCTCTACCAACACAAGTAAGTATGAGAACCTTTTGCGGACGATGAGGTGCAGTAATCACATCGTAAAGGGCAYATCATGAAGGTCACAACTAGCTGCCCGGAGCAGTTTACAATTATGAAAAACGGCAACTAGCAATGACGGTCAGAATTTGTCTGTCATACAGGAGTTGGCCAACTTTATCCTTAGAAAGAGATATTCATTGGTTACAATATTAGCTGAGGTTCTGATGAATAGTTATGCAAAAATCTTAAACATTAACTTTGAAATAAACCCCATTTTTTAATTGGGCATAAAGTCTTTCTTCAGTTTCAGACCACAAGTCATTCCATAGAGTATCATTTCTTTATCTAATGGTTGCGCATAAGAAACCACATGAATATGAAAGTGGATACCACTGAAATAAAGAATCTTACTCTCAAGAGAATAACACGTGGTCTGTAATGAGAAAACATTGCGCCCAAGGTAAAGGTCACATTTTCAAATGTAAAATATAGGTCATGCCAAGGAAACTCAATCAAAGTGAGATCAATGATTTGATTGTAAGTAAGGACAGCAAGATGGATTTTCTTATCGGTATTGGAGACGTGCAGTCAGCCTCTGAGCTGGTCAGTGGTTTGGTGTCTGTATTTAATTACGAGGCTTCGCAGAAGACAACAAACAATGAAACGGCTTTAAGAAAAGAGGTGTGTGGAATCAGAAAGAATAACTACTGCTGCTACTACTGCTACTACTTCTACTGCTGCTACTGCTGCTGCTGCTGCTGCTGCTGCTGCTGCT